GGGTTTGAACCACCAACTCCAGCTCCCTACCCCTTTGAGCCACAAGTTCCCCCTCTATTTTTTCTAATAAAATAGGAAAGTCATTTGTCCTGTTTACATCATTGCATTTTTGAGCATCTAAAGTTAAAGTGGGTAGTGCGTATTAAACTGTTACCTCAATGCAAGGAAATATTTATTGGGCTTAGTTTAGTATTTATGGGCTTCTATAAGGTAGCTTACTTATTTTGTGAAATTATACAAACTGGAAAAATAATATCTTCAAAGAAAGGTAAGAGAAGGAAGGAGAATCGAGACCAAGAAGAGATAAAGGAATTCCAATAGTAATTGGCTTTGAATTCTGAAGTATTTCCTGGTCCCTGAAAATATAGGGAGGTCAACCTGGGCAGACCCACTGGCAAGAGAACGACGGTGTCTTTCTGATATTTCAACAATTTCTTAGATTGTCAAAGTGTAGTTAGCCCGCATCACTGATATTTTATAGCATACTTTCAGTTTTCTGCTATTGAAACTAGGGAGTATAATTTTAGTTTTATATTTCACATCTTCTTATATAGAAACTCTGAGCTTCTGGGATGAGAAATTCAAACATAAGTTTCAAATGTTCTTACTTATTTTTCACTTCTACCAAAAATTATAAATTGCACTGAATTTATAAATTTGGATTTTCTGGTGAATATAGTGGAAAAGAAGGTTGAAAAAAGAAGACCATTCTGCTCCAACCACACACACAAAGTAACTTTGGTAGCAATGAGAAGTATAGTTACTGATTAGTAGCACAATAGTCATCCAATAATTCTGGAACATATACTATGTGGCAGTAACTATGATATACGATTATATGTGCATCATTTAATTTAATGGATCCATTTATTTCTTCAATATTTACTGCCCACCTACCCTTTGCCAGGTGCACTTTCAGTTCCTAGAAAGGTGAATAATGAAAAGACGTTTGATCTATGGGGTTTATGTTATAGGGGGTGAGAAAAGCAATGAAAAAATTCACAAATTAATACTTAATAAACTATCAAATAGTGATGTGTTCTACGAGGAAAAATAAAATAGCATAGAAGAATAAAGAGTCATGGAGGCCTGAGATTATAAATGCTACTTGGTATGTCAAAGACAACTTTCTTGGGAATTAAGATTTCAGCAGAGATGGGAATTAAGTCAGGGAGTAAGCCATGCAATGTTGGCAGATCAGAATTCTCAGACAAAGGAGCAACCCGGGTCAAGTTCTCGACACAGTGAAAAGCGACACTGAAGCGCTGGACCATTGAAGCCCAAAGTGATAGGAATTAGGTCCAAGAACCAAGCAGAGACATGAAGTAGGATTTCAAGGAAGAGAGGAGAAGTTTGGATTTTCTGCTGAATATAGTGGAAAGCTCTTGGAAGGGTTGGGCAGGGGAATTACACAACTGGATTTACTTTTCAAAAGGTCATTCCAGCTGCTGTGTGGAATGGTTTGGCAAGGGCAAAAAGCGGGCAGAAGTGTAGGAGGCTGTTACGCCAGTTCAGGCAAGAGATGGAGGCCGTCTTAGGGGGTCGGGCAAGTAGTCAGCTTTGGAAGATGACATTCTCTTCTGATTGTTTCTATATTCTGAGTGAAGTAAGACTTGAAATCATGATCTGAGAATAAGGACATTTGAGAAGTGAGTAAGCATGAGCGGAAAAGTGGCCAGGCTATGGGAAAATACTGGGATTAGGGAACATACTGCAATTTGTGGGCAGGAGTCTAACGTGAGGCCGGTTCATCTGGCTGTGTGATTTTCTCCAGCCACTTTCAATTGTTCTGCTAAGGGCAAGGAAATTGTTTTACCCAGTGAGTGAATTAGTAGTGGGGCTAGCAGAGGACAGTGAGGGCAGGAGCGGCAGAGACAAGGACATGTGTATGATAGCGGATTGGACGGTCCCTGGCTGCCAGTGTCTGGAGTGGCAGGTGTGGAACCAAGCGGGAAAGTTGGGGAACGGCGACCCCATGCTTGGAGTGGAGACTTCAGAGCTGTTGGAAATGGCCTGGGACATGTGATCTTGGACGTGGGTTATCTTTATTAATACAGTACAGAGTTTCGTGCTTGCTGGGTGTTTCTCTCCTCTGTTATCACTTGATATCGCCTGGTTGCCAGAGCAATTATAAAGTTGAAGCCAGCCGCGTCCAGTGCCAACAGGTGAAGGATTTTTAGATGTTTAATGGCTGAAGACGTACTTCCTTTCAGTTATGACTGCCATACCGATGTGTGGGGGCGTGAGGGTGAGATTAGAGCCAGCCCCAACGGTGGGGCTCGGGGAAGATGCCCACTCCCTGCGCGTGCACACGTCTGCCTGTCTAGATGCAGGGAACCCTCACCATCCCCGAGGCCGCCGGTCTTTACCGTGGGCGCTCCCGGGTTGCAGGACGCCAGGAGGTTAGAGCCCTAGGGAAGGACTGTCGTGCCGGGCAGCCGCCGGCTCTCAGTGGGCTCCGACCCTGGCCTACTTTTTAAGATGGGATCCAAGTTTTCATGTCGTGCCAGGAGAGGTTGGTTTCCTTGCTGTAGGTCAGGCGCTGCAGCTCGGCTTCTGATGTCCAGCAGTCCTGAAGTTAGTGTTCCCGGAGTGACTCGGGAGCTTTCTCCAGAGGAGTAGTTGCCTTAGCGGCTCAGCTTCGCTACTGCAAAAACCAGGGGTGCGTCCCTGTTTTGCGAGTCTTGACGTCAAGCTCCTCCGACAGCCCCGGAGCTTCGCAGGGGCGGTGGAGGGCTGGGGGAGGGTGGCAACCAGGGGAAGCCATTGCAGCAACAGCTTGGAGGAGGGAGCTGGACGTCTTCGCCAGCAAAAACAGCCAGAGCAGGGGAGGAAGGGGACCTGCGGGCTGTGGGAGTCGCTGGGTTGCAGCAAAGAGGGGCGGGGAGAAGGCGGGGGCGCTGCATGCAGCGCGCTGGCTCCAGCGGTGCCCGCGGGGAATGTGACATCAGCGGCGCCCGGCGCTTGCGGCTAGAGGAGGCAGCTCGCCTCGGCTGCGCTGTGGACGCCTCGCCTGGGGGAGCTCGCAGACCCGGGCAGACGGCAGGGATGTCGGCGAAGGAGAGGCCAAAGGGCAAAGTGATCAAGGACAGCGTCACCCTCCTGCCCTGCTTTTATTTCGTCGAGGTGAGTTGGCCCAGCGCCTGGGCGTAATGCAGATCCTCTGGGCAGCTCCGGGAGGATTCGGGGGCAAATTCGGTCCTGGGCAGTGTTGGAGGCGTGGAGACCGAGACCGTGCCAGGGTGGCTTCTGTCCCCAAATGCCCGACCGTCCTCCTTCCCCAAGATTTCACAGGGCATCCCCCTAGTGTGCCTGTTCATACCTGTCAGCCCCGGGTGACTCCACTAGAGGTGCCGCTGCTGCTGGGTGGCCTGCAGGAAGGGATACCTGTGTGAGTGAGTGCGGGTCTAGTTCCTCGGCCCTCCTGTTGTGCCTGTGTGCACAGCATCCCTCAGTGCCCCAGAGGGGCCATGATGCTCATATTTCCAGATCTGTGTGTTCAGCCTGCCAAGTATTTATCTGAAACTCTGTGAGCTTTGGGTGATAATTCAAGTACACACTGCTATGCCGGGGGAATGTAAGGGCTGGAGGTGTTTACACAGTCTAAAGATTATTGATTGCTTTTATTACCCTTGTCCAAAAAATTCTTCTATTATATTTACTCTGGTGCTTACCTCTGCTTCCCCAAATGAGTCTGCATCCCTAGGCATCAATCATCAATGTGCTGGCCCTTTTCCAAGGTGAATATATAGCTGGATACAGCTATGTACACATACATATCTATATATGATATTGTTAAATCCATGACATCATCTGATTTTACATGGTTTGTATCTGGGCATGCACTCTGTGCTGAACAGCATTACAGATGAGCCATTAGCATGCAGATGTAGTCATAATAAGCCTCTAACTTACCAAAATGCAGTATTTGAGGGAGGAACAATTCATGGGAGAGTTATCAAGATTGACAGACACAGTGATTCCATGCACAGTGATCCAATGCATTAGGAAGACATTTTTAAGCAGGAGGGTTATTAAATCATAGGTAAAAAAAAACAAAAAAAACATGAATTGTAGAGGTTTAGAGACATTGGATGGTTTTAGGCATAAAACTCTGTTCTGTGGAATTAGAGGCTGTATTGCATAGAGAATTATAAGGCTGTTGCTGAATTATAAATATCCTTCCTTGGCCGTCTTTTCAGACAAATATGGAGGTTTAGCACTTCCAAGTACAGATAGTAGATTCTGTATTTGACGATTGTGAGGCTTGTCTGTGTTGAGGAATAGTCACTGCCTTGCAACTTGAGGGAGGGGATATTGTCAGACTGTTTTTATAGGTAACAGTACATTTGGAAGTTTCTTATAGGCGTCATAAATTGTTTCAATGATTTCATTTCTTAAAGAAAGATGTATGTGAGTTGAATAATTCTCAGAGAAATGGTGGGTGACCCCTTCATCCATGACCCATAAAAAAGGAGAGGAAAATGATTTTACTTATGTGAAAATAATTAATTGATTCGTTTATTGTCCTTTCTCTTTCCATAAGGTATTTTTAGACCATGGTTTAGGTCATTTTTGTTGAGAGATAAGATAGAGATTTCTCAAGAAAAAATGTGGGCAACAGAAGATTCTATGATGAAAAAGGTGAAGGAACAGGAAGATAAGATACCTTTCAGTTCAATCCTACAAGCCAGTTGTCATATTGTTAATTTGTGCAATTTGGTATTAAAGCCCTTTCATTTGTGTCTGGATCTAGTACATCTATCTAGGAGAAATCAATTAATTGCTGGGCTCTGTCTCTAGGAAGGAGCATATCTGAGGTCAGCTAGAAGCTGACTCCATGTGCATTGCAGTGTATGGCTTCAAGGAAAATACTGTTCATGGAAGAGGATGCAAACCAGAGAATTAAGGATGTAGTATTTACAGAATGTATTGAGCAGTTCTGAGGTACTTTTAACAGGAGTGCACGTCCCTTAACCTAGAATTTTTAAAGTATAAGTGGCTCATCATGCATTTGAACTGGGTCTTTAGGAACAGACATCTCACAAATATTCCTTATTTTCCATGAGTGGAAATACCCCACATTTATTACTTTCATTTCTAACCACTAAGATATGAATTACTCTTATGAATTACTCAGCAGGGCAAGCTATAGAACAATTACTTGAAGACAATTCATGGAGGTTGATGAACACTGATGACGCTGTATCATAGGGTAACAGACTTCAAAGACAGAGTCACAAAATTGAATTCCAAAAGTCTCTCTGACAGTTAAATGCCTAATAAACAACTAAAGACCCTCCAGAGAATGGGATAAGGCCATTGTCACCAAATATTTGAGAGTTTGACCATAAGCACCAGCTAGCCCCTATGCAATGACTCACGTTGAAGCCCACGACAATGAGCTCTACATCTCCTGTGCAGGATGAGTAAACATACCTGAATTAACACGTTAGTAAAACGCTCTAGAGGAATGACACTTCACCTTACAGCACAGTTTCCCAAGACTGTAGAAATGAAGATGGAAAAGCAAAGCATGAGTAAATCTCCTTCCACCACACATCAACTCAAAGCACATCTTTTAGGCCTTCTCTTTTACTTCGGACCACAAGTTAACAAAAGATGGCTAAAATACCAGATCTTCAGGAGATAACAGTCTCCAGGTCTCAAGTCAGTGATACCATGGGCAATTTAAACTTTGCCTTCCTTCAAGGAGTTCAGTTTTAAATTGCTATTCATGACACATATGAAATACGGAAAAACTTTAACTGGGAAAAATGAGGGTGAAGATACTATCACTTGAACCAGAGGGGCCTGAAATCAAGACAGGCTGACTTACAGCAGAAAAGGCAGCATGGGTTAGGCGAGACCTGGGCCTTAGAGACAGATTGACTTGGGTCACACACCAACTTTGCCACATATTACATGAAAAAATTTGACCAAGCTACTTCTCTTATTCTTGGTTTCTTCATATGTAATAGAAATTATCATATCTATCTCTTACTATATATATATATATATATATACACACACATAAGGTTAAACCATCATGCCTGAGATATGACTGGCACTCATGATGTTTTTTCTTTCTTCTCTTGTAATTGTCCTTGACCTGAAATGGATTATTTCACATCTAGTCTGGACATAAAGGATCAAGTCCAGACACAGCATGTAGGTTAGGAGTTCCCATCTTCTCCCCAGTTTGTAGGAGGGACTCAGGTTTCAGAGCGTTCCTGAAATTGACCTGTATAAATAGATATAAAAGGTGGGAATGTGATGTTATATACCGTTCACACAGTAATAATGTCAATCATTACTAAAGCACTTACTACATACTAGGAATAAAGCTAAATACTTTATGTGACTATCTTGTTCAATCTTCAAAGGTTCTCTTTATAAAACAGGCCGTTATTATCCACATTTTAAAGAAGAGATTGAAAGTTATCAAACTAAACAACTCGCCCAAGTTTAGAAAGCAAAATCAGAGGAAGAGCTGGGCATTAACTCAGAGTTCATGTTCTTCACAACTGCAATAACTGTCTCTTTTAACTTGTTAAAAGAAGGCTCATATAGACAAAGTTATGTCCTGTGTTTTCTCACTGGTAAAAACTGGAAAATGTAATAAGACAAAATGTGTAAAAGCACATTGACAAAAGTGATAGTTTTCACTGGCTACAGACCACCTCAGTCCCTCCTTAGCAGGGAGCATCTAGGTGCAGAGGGTTGGTGGACGGTGTATACGCCCTCCACTGGCTCACTAGGTCACCGGTGACTAGGAGACCCTCAACAGGTGCACAAGGCAAGGCACAAGGAGATAGTGAAGACCTTGGCAACCTATTGCAGAGTGTTAGGGTAGCTCTATTTATATCCCTAAAGACACTGGGCTGAGGTGTTCACCCACTAAAATCAAATAATCTTGTCTTATTTCACCACCAAACTTAACGTAAGCACACATTCAGTTAATGAATGTAATTATTGTTTCTTGTTCTTTAGGCTACTGTTCGCTGATAAAGGAGTTTAAAGTTGATAGTAATGTTAGAAGCTGATTTGAAAAACACGTGATGATTCCAAGCCCAGCACCTCACTTTATAGACAAGTTTGAGAATTTACTTTTGCCTTGTTCAACATGGGAAGACAAAGGTTAAGTTGTGAAAGGAACTCTCAGACAAGGATATCCAGGCCTTGTTAGATTGGACAGAAAAACAGGCAGAAAAGACTATTCCACCAAAGAAAAAGTTTCTTTAAAGTTCCAAAGAAGTGATAGCTATATCTCTTACAGTGGCAATTACAGCCAGAAGCACACCTAGAATTAATAGAAGGTCTTTCAAGACTGATAGCTCAATCCTGCATGTAACAAAGCTGGTCTCCTGGGTGCCTGGTGCATTTCCCTGATGCAAAGGATTACAAGGTCCCTCCTGTGTTCAGACTCCAATTTTGTTGTCGTTAGTCAACCCATTGAAGGATCAATTCAGTGTGTAATGTAAACAAATCATGTATTACCTTTAATAGCAAAAAGATATAAATTTTTAACATCAAGTAAATGAGAAAGAGATTCTTTTCATTTAAACGTTCTGGTTTATGACATTCATTTTTATCACATTCCTTACATTAACTTTATGAAGGGAGAAGAGTTATGTTTGACTATATGCCAAGACATTTTCACAGGGCTATAGATACAGACAGGAGTTTAAAATATCTTGTTTTACATACAAGAGAACACACCAAAACATACGTACCCATGCATAAACCTCTGCACATAAGCAAGTACAAATATACAAGTGGACTGAGATTATATCTCTCTCCACTCCGCATAAAATTACACTATGAGAAGCATTACAGATTCAGAATACTTTAAACTCACAAGAATTAAAATTACATGGAAAGTTTTCCTTCCTTGGAGCTACACTTAATAGTAGATATGTCGCAGAACTTTAATCGCTACAGGGAGGTAATTTGACAGTGTGGTCGGGAGCAGAAACCATTGCTACTCTGTTCTCATCCTCCAGATAAGTTCAAAACACCTTTGAATAAAGTCACCTGGTTCCTTCAGTCCGAAGGCATGTCTTGACATTGTGGTGCCTTAGCCAAACTTTAATGCCATTTTTGTTTTCTTCCCACTGGAAAGT